AAACTATACATCAGAAGTGTTTAACCATGGGCAGTATGTCCCACAGTCACTGGGTATTTGGAAATGTGAGGAGTGTGGTTTCAGTTGTCACAATGACTGATGGTCCTCTGTCATTTAGTGCCTGGGGACTAAGATGCTGCCCGTCCTTCAGTCTGAGCTGTGGCTCTGCATAATGAAGAGATGTTCAGTTGAAAGTGTTACTTTAGCTTGATGAGAAACGCGGCTTTATGAAAGAAAGGTGGAGTGTGTCAGAAACCTGGTAAAACAGGGTCTCTCTCCATCCAACCTCCACACAGCATCTCATTAAGAAAAATGCAAATCTGTTTTTCAAGAAAGCCCTGGGAAGGAAACTCTTTCTAGATCTAACTTCATAACTTTTAAAATAAGCAAACAAAACAAGCAACAGCAGAACTGTAAAAGACTTCCCAGTATCTTATTTAGTATCCCATTTACCAAAAGTCTCATTCTAATTCTCTGAAACAATCTGGAGCTGCCTTCTCAGACAGCCGCCCCTGGGTATTTCTCTGTTGTAGTCCTTAGCCTTTCTTTTTAATAAAAACTGAGTTGATTTTTTTTTTGGTTTCTTCAGTTCTACAGCTGCTATATGTATTCTTGCTTTGAGTGTGTGTGTGTGTGTGTGTATGTGTGTGTGTATGTGTGTGTTACTTATATCTATATATCTAGAGAGGATAGAAAAGAGAGAGAAGGGAGAGATGGAGGGAGATTGTAAACATTTATTCTTTGCTTTGCTAGTGAGTTAAGACTTCAGTTGATCTTTTAAGCTCAGATAACCAGATGTACAACAGTGTGTCAGGGGCAATCGTAAGGCACCCATTGCTTCTATCCTGCATTTCTAGGCTTGGCTAAATACTGTGTCCAGCCTTCCATGTCACTCACTTAGCCTGCTTTCTCATCAGCCTCTTTGTTTCTTATCTTTATAACTTTGCCCATCGTTTGGCTTTTCCATGTCAAGCAAGCACGCCTTAACAAAGACCTTTCAACATTAGTACCATGTGACTATTTCCCAATTCCATAGTCTTACACTGGAAAGCTCTTAGATCTGAGCACGGGTGCAGGCTTGCCCTGTCTTAACTGAGGTGAGTAGGCTGGCCCTTCCTAGCTGTGATTAGACAGACTTTAAGAAGAAAGTGTGGCAGAGGAAGAAATGATAGATACCCCTTGCACAGCAACCCAGGTTCATTTGGTTCATGGTGACAGATAATCAATCACAGGAAATTCCAGCCTGAGGATGAGACAATATCTTGATCTTATTATTCCTCTAAAGCAGCTAAGCTAATCCAGGCAGCCAATTAGTGTCGAAGTGTGGGCAGTCTTAGCATGGTGTGCCTCCTTCCTTCCTGACCCTTCCCAATTGTGGGGCGAATTCAAAGCTGAGGTTTAGACCAACTTTTTCTGCATTTCAACCAGTTTTCTCAAAAATACGAATTTTTAACTTAAAGGGTAGCCTGACTATAAACTCACAGAAAACCCTGGTGATACTACAGACACTTAAAATGGAAGTGAGCTGAGTCAATGTCAGTTCATTAGCTCTGGGGCACTGAAGATGCTAATTAATTTAAATAATCTGAAGGCCTTTAATTAATCCACATCCAGAACAAGTAAAGTGTACTCAGTTTGAGACATATTCCTTGCTTCTAACTAACGTTTGCTGAAATTTCATCATTGAAAACCACCACTGCTTTGGTTGCTGTACTGGAAGTTGAAAAGTTAAAAATACTCTTTGTAGCCAGGATTCACCTTAATCAAACAGACAAGTTCAACAGTGCTGATGACCCATCTTCAGCTCATAGGAGACAGAAAGGGGATAGTAACTGCCAACCTGTACCTTAGTCACGAGGCCATCTCATGAATGGTTATGTTGGCTCGTGACCACGGGCTGACATTCATTACTAGATGTTCCATAGTAGAAAAGATAGTTGTTCAGTGATGGGCCCATCTACACTGTAAACTGAAGAGACAGTGTTCTCATTAGTGCTGCAGCTTCCTTAATTAGATTTCTAGGATTCAGAGAACTCTGAATAATGAGAAACATTATATTGTTAAAGAAAAGTAATAGCCTGTCTGCATGCGTTTGAAACTTCATGTGTTCATGCTATATTCTTTCCAATTTTTATTTTATTGTTTCAAGTTTTTTTTGCAGGAAAAAAGTTGTCTGAGAATTATTAATCATTTGTACAAGGGGAAAGTAGGAACCCTATGTAAATACTAATTGAATAGCAGATAAATAAGCTCGGGAATAAGTTCTCTAAAAAGTTAAAGGGACTCTCGAAGGGGAAAACCAAACAGATTTTTCAGATATATCCAACCATCATTCTATATCCAACTATCAAAAGATGATGACAGAATAGAAATGAAAAAGTTCAGAAAAGAAGTTGAAGACTTGGTTCTGGTTGAAATTTTAATTTTAAATACATATATGTAGATATATGTATATGTCTCTTTGTAACCACTACCCATATGAAAATGCCAGCATTCCATGAAGGCATCCTTTTCCAACCAGCACCCCTCCATTTCTACAGAGATAGTGACTGCTACTGTCAGTGGAAAATTATACTGCTTATCAAAAAGCAATTAAATTTTAAGCTTGAAAAGTCTAATTTATTTTCCACTAATTGCCAAGTTTTAATTTGACTATTTTATCATAAGCTTCATTCAAGCATTAGAGATTTATTAATGAACACAACAGAAACAATTTTTCATTATTTTAGGTAATGTTGTAACCATCTTTTTGAGGTAGAGTATTACAGTATAGCTCAGGCTCAAACCCATGACATCTCTGTCTCAGCCTTCTACATGCTGGGGTTATATGTGTACACTATCATACCTGGCTTCTTAATAGTGTCACTAATAGCCGGGTGTTGGTGGCACACTCCTTTAATCCCAGCACTCAGGAGGCAGAGGCAGGCGGATCTCTGTGAGTTCGAGGCTAGGCTGGACCGACAGCCTCCAAAACAGAGAAACCCTGTCTTGTAAAACCCCCCCAAAAATAGTGTCACTAATATTAATCTTTGTATCCTTAAATTTTGTAGTATTTTTCCATTTCCATTACATTTTAAAACTTTAATATTGAATTTGAAATGTAAAAGATGGAAAAACAATGTCAACTGGGCTTGACTTTGAGCATGGGAAGGGTTGTGAGAATGGCAGAATGTTACTGGTTCCCAGTTATCCCCCTTGGGAACTCTGAGTGTCTGGACCTAGTGACCGTGATGCCGCAATGCTGTTACTGACCAGCACAGCAAACCCCAGGAAAAGGCAGAGTGCTTCATGTCACTGTGGTGTAGCATGGGCCAAAATGATTCATGGGAGATGCAAACAACACAGCAGCGTGGGCTAAAGGCTGAAAAACATCCCACCATTTCTCATCTTGAATGTGTCCGTTTTACTCTAAGGTGAACCTTTACTTTGTATTAGAAATCTCTGTGCAGTCCCTATGTCTATCTGGTGACCAGATGGCTACCGAGTACATCTTCCCAGAAAAGAAAGGACTCCAAAGGCAGTTGTAAATTACGCAGCTCTTCTGGCCCAGGGCTCTACAGTGTGTAAGTCCCATCATAGGAATTATCTTGGTACTTTCCTGAGTCAGGATTGATTTATATTAGTTTTTACTTTTTAAGATGTTCATGTAAGAATATATGCTTACTACCAGCTATAGTGTTCTTAAACCTCCAGGAGTGGCCTAACAGAGAATATGTCCAGGGATTTACTCTTGAAGATGAGTATAACTTTTTTTTGTTGTTGTAATATTTCCCTGTTTTAGTAAGTGTTCAATAAACTTTTTTGGGGGGGAGGAAAGGATTTATTTTATTTACAATCCCAAATCACTGCTCATTATTGAAAATGTTGGGACAGGAACTCAAACAGCTCAGGAACTCGGAGGCAGGAACTGATGCAGAGGCCAATGGAGGGGCGTTGCTCACTGGCTTGCTCCCTGTGGCTTACTCAATCTTCTTTCTGTTTTTCAATTACACTTTTTAATTATATATTTAAACTAGAAACAAGCTTGCTTCCCATGTTAGTCCCAGCTCCCTCTCCCTCCCCTCCACCCCCACTCCCTCCACCAGCCCCACCAGCCCCCCACCCAATCCCCACTCCATTCCCTAGGGAGGGAAAGGCCCTCCATGGGTGATCTCTAGAGTCTGTCATTTCGTTTCTGGGAGGGCCCAGGCCCTCCCCAAAGTGTCCAGATTGAGAAAGCATCCCTCATTGTGGGATGGGTCCCCAAAGTCCATTTGTGTGCCAGGAATAAATACTGACCTACTACCCAAAACCCCAATAATTGCCTGAGTTTCCTCATTGACACCTACTCTCAGCCATCATTCTGGGGTTCAAGATCTCCCCCCTTGTTCAGGCCAGCTGTTTATATGGATTTCACCAGCCCAGTCTTAACCCCTTTGCTCATCAATCTTCCATTTCTGTCACTGGGTTCCAGGAGTTCAGTTCAGTATTTAGCTGCCTCTGCTTCCTTCTGTTACTGGATGGAGGTTCTAGGATGGTATGTAAGACAGTTGGAAAAAATCATTATTAGGGAGGGGCATTTAAGATAGTCTCTCCACTACTGCTTAGTTTGCCAGGTGGTGTCATCCTAGTAGATCTCTGGAGATCTCACTATTGCCAGATCTCCCCTCAAACCTAGAATGGCTCCCTCTATTATGGTGTCTCCTTTCCTGCTCTCCTCTATTCTTCCACCAACTCAACCTTCATGCCATCCCATGTCCCCCTCTCCCTTCCTCTTCTCTCCCTCTCTTTTTCCTGGCTCCCTTTCCCTTCCCCCACCCTGTGCTCCCAATCTGGTCAGGAGATCTTGCTTCATTCCACCTTCTCTGGGTACCATGTATGTCACTCTTAGGGTCCTTCCTGTTTCCCTGCCTCTCTGGCAGTGGGATTGTAGGCTGGCACTCCCCAGATCTATGTCTAAAATCCATATATGAGTGAGTACATACCATGTATGTTTTTTTGTGACTGGGTTACCTCATTCAGGATGGTTTCTTCTAATGTCATCCATTTGCCTGAAAATTTCAAGATTCAATTGTTTTCTTTCTGCTGAATAGTATTCCATTGTGTATATGTACTACATTTTCTCTATCCACTCTTCAGTTGAGGGGCATCTAGGTTGCTTCCAGGTTCTGGCTATTACAAATAATGCTGCGATAAACATAGTGGAACAGATGTCCTTGTTGTATGAATGTGCATCTTTTGGGTATATGCCTAAGAGTGGAATTGCTGGGTCTTGTGGTAGACTAATTTCCATTTTCCTGAGGAATCTCCATACTGATTTCCATAGTGGCTGCACAAGTTGACACTCCTACCAGCAGTGGAGGAGTGTTCCCCTTTCTCCACATCCTCTCCAGCATAAACTGTCCTTGGCCTTTTTGATTTTAGCCATTCTGACAGGAGTAAAATGGTATCTCAGAGTTGGTTTTTTTTTTTTTTTGGTTTTTCAAGACAGGGTTTCTCTGTGGCTTTGGAGGCTGTCCTGGAACTAGCTCTTTGTAGACCAGGCTGGTCTCCAACTCACAGAGATCCTCCTGCCTCTGCCTCCCGAGTGCTGGGATTAAAGGTGTGTGCCACCAATGCCCGGCTCTAGGAGTTGTTTTGATTTGCATTTCTCTGATTGCTAAGGATATTGAGCACTTTCTCAAGTGTCTCTTGGCCATTGTAGTCTCCTCTATTGAGAATTCTCTATTTAGTTCTGTAGCCCACTTTTTAATTGGATCCTTTGGTGCTTTGGAGACCTGCTTCTTGAGCTTTTTGTAGACTTTGGAGATCAGTCCTCTGTTACTTATGTAAACTATCATATCATCTGCAATAGTGAAAGTTTGACCTCTTCCTTTCCAATTTGTATTCCCTTGATCTCCTTTTGTTGTCTTATTGCTCTGGCTAGAACTTCAAGTAAAATATTAAAGAGGTATAGAGAGAGTAGGCAGCCTTGTCTTGTTCCTGATTTTAGAGGAATTTCTCTGAGTTTCTCTCCATTTAGTTTGATGTTGGCTGTCGGTTTGCTGTATATAGATTTTATTATGTTTAGGTATGTTCCTGTCATCCCTTATTTCTCCAAGACCTTTATCATGCAGGGGTGTTGGATTTGCCAAAAGGCTTTTTCAGCATCTAGTGAGATGATCATGTGATTTTTGTTTCTCAACTTGTTTATATGGTGGATTACATTGATGGATTTTTGTATGTTGAACCATCCCTGCATCCCTGGGATGAAACCTACTTGATCATGGTGGATGAGTTTTCTGATGTGTTCTTGGATCCAATTCACCAGTATTTTAATGAGTATTTTTGCATCAGTGTTCATGAGAGATATTGGTCTGAAGTTCTCTTTCTTAGTTGTGTCTTTGTGTGGCTTGGGTATCAAGGTTACTGAAAGGGGAAAAGTACTGACATAGCATTTCAGAAATGTTTTTCAAGATTTAATTTGTGTGTAGTATGCACACATATAATCCTAGCACTTAAGAGGCAGAAGCAGGAGGATCTTCTTGAACTCAAGGCCAGCTTGGTCTACTTAGTGATTTCCAGGCCAGCCAGAGCTATGTAGTGAAACCTTGTCTCAAAAAATGTTTTTATTAGTTTTTAAAGTGTGTGTGCATGTGTGTGTGTGGGGGGAGCATGTGTAATGAGCAGTCTCTATAGGCCAAAGGTATCATATCCTCTGGAACTGGAGTTACAGGCAATTGAAAACTGCCTGACATAGGTGCAGGGAAACCAATTCATGTAATCTCTGAGCCATCTATGAAGCCCATTTGACAGTCTTAAAAGAGAGATGACCACTGTCATCAGTTTAATTAACAGTGAAAACCATTGGAATCCAATGTTACTATAGGAAATGCCCTATGGGAAGTGGGGCTTGGTTCATAGGAAAAGGATTGGCAGGGGATACCAGGTGTGCATGGAAGATATGGCATGGAGTTGGTTGCCTGTAGACTGTGCTGTCTTTTCTTCCTAAAAGGTCTGTGATGTTTTCCAGATGAACACTTATTTCTGACAACCACCAAGAGAAACGTGATTGACATGTTTTTATGTTTTTTCCCCTCTGTTTGACAAAGAAAATCTACTGAAATTGACTAATTTACAAATGACAGGGCTTGCTTTCCTTTGGCTTGTGGACACAATTGTCTCCATTAACTACAGTGGGAGTTCTGTGGTCTCAAGGGGAATGGATGGCTAGCAGTGGGATGCTATAGTGTAAGGCTATGGAATCCATAGAGAGAAAATACAGGGTCTGTTTCAACACCAGCTTCTGCACTGTGAACCCAGGAGAGCTGTTTGAAAGCACTCACGTTTTCCTCTATTGATGTTGTACAAAGAAATAAAAGGGAAGCAAGTTTATCTAAGAACAATTTTATGAGACCATTGAAAAGATTGAAGACTGTCTGAACCCCACCCTGATCATTTTGCATTGAGTAATGGGTACTAGCGATAGTCATCCTCTCACAGCAGGGGTCCCAACTTCTGCATCTTAGAACAACCTAAGTCTGCCCTTGGAAGGTCAGTCCAGCTAATAAAAACTTCTGTAACATTCAGAGGAGGCAGCCTCATCTCCTGAGAAATGAGTATGAGATGTTATCAAAGAAGCATTTCGTAGGTTCTTGTTCTGTTCTAAAAATGTGTACATTGAGTATATAGGTATTTGAGCAAAAATTGACACAGCAATTACAAAGCCAGCTTAGTGAATGAATTCGACACCCCATGGCCTGACATGCTCTGAAAATGAGCAAAGAACTCTGGGTAAACAGACCTCTACTTACAATTTTAATTCACCCTCTAAATATTGTCTTGCTCACTTTCTGGCTTATATTTAGCACTCAGTAGCATTTGTTGAATGAAAGAATTCTCATTCATGGGGTGAGGACTACATATACAAAGTGCTTGCTACCCAAGTGTGAGAACCTTAGTTCAATCTCCCAGAATTCACATAAAATGCCAGGCATTCCCCAGTACTGGGAAATCTCTGGAGGTTCCTGGTCATCCATTCTAGTGGAATTAGCAAGTTCAAGGTTCAGTGAGAAATTCTGTGTAAAAAGAAAAAATGGAGGTGGAGAGTGATTAAGGAATGCAGTTAAAATTGACCTCTGGCTTCTACATGCATGGACTCACATGTCAGTATGCTCACACATGCATGGACTCACATGTGAGTATGCTCACACATGCACGCATAATTCTCACCCATACCATTAATTTTTTCTTTGGCATGGATTCTCCCTTTCAGAACCCAAGAGACTATTCTATTTTTGGCCAATAGCTTATGGATGGAAGTAGCAGCATTATGTAAGGACCAGTGTTTTCTTTTCTCTCCCTTTGTTCAGAATGAAAATGCACCACATTCCAGATGGTTTGGCTAATAAAGTCCATTGCCATCATTTGTCTATGGGTCTGCCTGAAGAATGAATGTCCCTGGGAAACCATTACTTGAGAAGGCTTTGTGTGAAGCAGATACAATCCCTGGTTACACAATTGCAAATGTCTGGGGAATGTATTGTTACTATAGAATAGCCTAATCTAACCTGACTAAGATAGTGAAATGTTGTAAGAACCCAGGGAAAGGAGGGCTAGCTATAGAAGACTTTGAAATGGGTGCATGAGTAGCATAATGAATGTGATTGGGACTTATTTATGTAGATGGGCAAAAGGGAGACTTCAGTGTAGTGGAGACATCCCAACAGAGGATATCTTGTGGACCCATGTGCTGGGAATGCTATGCATGGGTTTGTCTAGCTGCAGTAGTATATGTGTGTGTGTGACTGGGGAAATGGCATTTGTCAGACCTTGAGTTGAACTCATTGCTGCAGAATGCCTTCCTCATGAGCTGGCTGTGGAAGGTAGAAGACAGCAAGAGGCTCAAGTAAAATGTCAGGGCTTTTCCTTAATCATGATAATTAGAGGTGAAATGAAGGGTTCCCTTCTCACTTTGGGCATTCAGCCCTTGCTGTCACCGTATGCCATTACAGGAACTGATCCAGCCTGGTAAGGTCTCTTAGATGCCTGCCTTTGGGCTCACAGAGGTCTCTTTAGAGAGACTGAATTAATAAGTGGTGTAAATAGGAATTATTCCGGCAGAATTAACAAGAGTGGGCTGATGCTACTTGAGTGTATGTATTTGTAGTCTTAAAAAAGGAAACCCAAGGATACTCTTAGTGCAATGATATATTTTATGGCAGATTTAGTTCTGCAGAGAGTGACAGTGAGACCATTCTCCAGGCTTAATTATTTTTTAAAATGGGAACTGGGAAAAAGAGAGGGGGAGAAGAGGAGGGAAGAGGAAGACATGGGGGAGCAGGAAGGTTGAGTCTGGGGAAGAATAGAGGAGAGCAGGATAAGAGATACCATAATAGAGGGAGTCATTATAGGTTTGAGGGGACAGCGGACACTAGTGAGATTTCCAGGGATCTACAAGGATGATGCCAACTGGCAAACTAAGCAATAGTGGAGAGACTACCTTAATAGTCCCTCCCTGATAATGATTGAGGAGTACCTTATATGCCATCCAGTGACTGATGGAAGCAGAGGGAGATACCCACAGCTAAACACTGAACTGAACTCCTGGAACACAATGATAGAGAGGGGGAAGTGATGAACAAAGTGGTCAAGACCATGCTGGTGAAATCACAAAGACAGCTGACCTGACAAGGAGGGGCTCTTGGACCCCAGATTGATGGCTGAGAGGCCAGCAGGGGACTAATCTAGACCACCTGAATGTAGTATCAGTGAGGAGGCCTCCACAATCTCTGGGTCCTTGGGTAGGAGATCAGTGTACAAATGAACTTTGGGAGCCCATTCCACGTGGAGAGATCCTCTCTCAGCCTGGACACATGGCAGAGGGTGTAGGTTTTGCTATGGATGAAATGAAAGACTCTGGAGATCCCCCAAGGAGGGCCTCACCCTCCCTGGGGATTGGTGTAGGGATTGGGTGGGGGTTGGAGGGCCTGGTGGAGGGGCAAGGGATGAGGGGTGGGAGAGGGAGCTGGAATTGACATGTGAGGCAAGCACGTTTCTAATTTAAATAAAGAAATATATTGAAAAATGGTCTTCTCTGGGGATTACAAATTTTATATTAGAATAGTGCATGAAGCCATGGACCTTGGATGATTTGAGAAATAGGGTGGAAAAATACCCTTTCACCATCTTGAAAAACTGAAGTTTGCTTCCCTCCTTTTCTTGACATTTATGTTTGAGATGTGCTAATTAATATGTGGTTTTATAACAGTTAAGTCTATAAACATGTTTACTCATAGAGATGGGCTATGTTTTGGGTTATCTCTCTCAAAGCCAAGTGTAAACCAATGATTTAATCTACTCAATTTTACAATGTATGGTATGAATGACCTATTCTCATTAAACAGGATTTAAGTACTTCAAATAGAGTGGCTGACAAAATGGCTTTTTTCCCTTAAGAAACTTGCATTTGAATGAGGGGAAGAGATAATGTTTGAATATAGCATTAGATGGCATTATATCATTTATGAATCTATAAATGCGATAAAGCCTTATTTATGGGTTGGTTTGCTGTGATGCTCTGTGGTTGGAAAAATTTTTGCCTTGATAAGGTAGTGTCTACGCAAAGACCTAAAAGAAAATAGAGTCCATATAATAATTGTGAATTGGAGAGATACCCAGGTAGGAGGAGCAGGCAGAGTCACTGAAGGTGGGGTGCACTGGTCTATTTCAAGGATTAAAAAGAGACCAGTATAAATGGCATGAGCAAGGAATAGAGTGATATAAATCCAAAGGCATCAAGGGACAGCTGTTTTAGGGCTGGAATATCAATATGTGGACTTCAGATTTTGCTTTGAGTAGTAGGGGGGGAGGCCTCTAGAAGATTTCAAGAGGAGTGTGTAGTCTGCCTGCTATGGGTTCAAACATTACCCCACATGTTACTTATTTTTGTTGTTTAGAACAAATGTCTGAAGAGGAGCATCTTAAGGAAGGAATGGTTTATTTGGGCTCAGTTTGAGGGGCTACAGCCCATCTTTGTTGGGGAAGGAATGATGGCAGGAGCATGGGGTCATTGGCCACACGGCATCGGCAATCAGGAAGCAGAGAGAGATCAATGATTGGTACTCAGCCAATTCCCTTTCTTTCTTCAATCCCCAAACTTACCCCATCAGTGGTGCCATCCACATCCAAGGTGAGACTTCTCTCTTCGGAAAAACCTGTCCGGAAACACTGTCATAGGCACACCAAGTGATAGGCTTTTTTGGTGATTCTAAATTAAATCAAGTTGCCAGGGAAGACGAAATCATTATACTTACAAATTCATACACTAAGTACACTACTCCAGTACTTTGAAATATGTCTTTTTATGGAGATTGATCCTTTAAAGAAGTAATTAACATAAAATGAGGTCCTGTGGGTAGACTCTCATTCAGTGAACCTGTGTCTTTTATGAAAAAGGTGTTAGGACACAGGCACATACATGTATGAGCGGAAGAAAAGGCTATGCGCAGCCAAAGGGAGAAGTCAGGTAGCCATGGAGTCAGTTTTGTCCCTCCCTTGTTCTTGGACTTCTAGAACATGAGAAAGACGTTTCTGTTGTTCTAACTGCTCGGACAGCTGTACTTTGTTAGGGGAGCCTGAGCAGATGAAGACCGTCACCTTCTGTAAGGACAGGCCCTTTTAGGACAGGCATGCAGGTTGGAAGCAGAGCCTGAGACTCGGACAGAGGTTGTTTAGTAAGCCAGGCAAAGCTGGTGGGTCTGTGAGAGATGATACGGGGCAGAGTGGTCAGATTTGGCGTATATCGGAAGCCACTCTTGGGATAGTGGCTGGATATGAGACATAGACTTTGAATCAGCGGGACTAGTTTGGCTCCAAGGTGTGTTTGTTTTCTTTTATTTGTTTTATATTGTGTTTGGTCTGAACAATGAGCAAAATGAAGTTGTCATATACTGAGATGGAAAGGACAGGATATGGTGTCAGCTCAAGAGGGGATGTGGGAATCAATGGGAAGTAGAAGGTGCAGTTAGAAGGTGGAGACAGGAAGCTAGTGAGTTCAAGGTTAGTCTGGGATAAATAGAAAATTCCAGCCTCTGCCAGGGCTTTAAAATGAGACACTGTAACAAAAGCAACGGGGCCCTACCCAGTCTTCCTTCCTCCTCCAAATAAAGCAAGAATAATATCAGAAGGGTGAGCTGTGAAAGAGTCAGTAAATGAGTAACTGGTGCCAGATAGAGGGAAAGAGAAGGGCCTTTGCAGAGCACCCAGTGGGTCATCATACAGGATGCCCACTGCATACATGGATTTGGGGGCTTTTAGTCTTGCTCTTCTTTGGGACAGTATCTTAGCTATTTGTATCTGAAAAAGTAAAGCAACTGAAAACAATATTCATGCTACTACATAGACTTTGAGCCTGTCTGATTTCTATTTGTTTAATTTTAAAATCATGACTCACAGTGTATAAACACACATACTCCATCATGGTTTTGAAGGAGTTTTTCAGATGAGTTGAAACATGACCTGGCATTCAAATTAGAACATGTTGGGTGTTCTCTGATCTGGAATAATCTTGTCTTGTTCCTTCTTTCCTAGTGAACTTAGTCCATAGGTTTCCATGGGGTGTGTCTATATGGAGACCTGTAGGGAGGCCATACCTTACAGTGCTGTGGCTACTCAAAGGGTTCTGTCCCTGCAAGGTGAGAACTTGCTCCAAGATCTGGTGTAGGCTCCTTGAAGGACAAAGGACAGAATGGGGAGACTTCAAAGTTCCATCCCAAGACACACTGATAGAAAACTTGTAGACTGCATTTTTCCAGGTGTGAATTTTCTCATAATTTACATAAAATATTAAAATTACAAAAAAGTTTTCAAGACTACTGCAATATTTCAAGACTCCTGAATATTTCATACCTAGTCACAATTATTTACATTTTTAGACTGTTCTGTGTGTACATTTACTTTTATCTGAATTATGGGTGATAGTTGAAGACATCATGCCCCTAGATATTTCAGCATACATTTCCTTACAAGTAAGTATTTTGTTACATTAAGATAACTATCATTTAAATAAAGTCTGGGAATTTCACATTAATGGAATGTATTATTATTCTAACCACAGTCCAGCTGCCTTCTATTTTCTTCAACAATGACAATCCTGCCTTTTGTGGCCATTTTCTTCACAATCTCTGATTATATCTAATGAATACAGATGGCCTTTAATTGTCCCAGCCTGTTTCTCTTTGACATAGCACAGATTCCCAGGTCTTTGCTTCTCTGTCTTGGCCTCATTGAAAAGCAGGGGCTATTTATTTTCTTCACTATCTGTCTAGCTGGATTGCAACTTTTTCCTATAACCAGATTCAGCTTCTGAATGTTTGGTAGGAACAGCACAGATGGGATGTTATGTCCTTCTCAGTGCAGCCTGTTGCCAGGTGACCAGTATTTATTTCATTGACCCTGAAGATGGTGACTTTGCTCCACGGTTTAAGAAGTTGCTTTCCAGGTGTCTCCATTGTAAATCTACTGTTACTCCTTTTGTGGTGAATAGTAACTTGCAGGGTGATAATAGAGGGTGTATAAATAACATTTTCCACACTTTTACATACTTATCTCAATGCCTATTGGTGAATTTCTGTGTTTTATTTCAGTAGAACAAATTTTATTGGCTATAAATGACAGAAACATCTTAAAAATACTTGATTTAGGTACATAAAGTTTATTGAACAGATCCTATAGGATTATTCTTCTCTAGAGGCATTCATGATCTCCCGAGGATCATAATTGGGGAGTGTGCACATTCAGGGCCCTCATTGATATCAATACCTTGATGAGCTAAAGCTCTGGGAAGTCATAAAACTAATGGACCTCTTGGGAAGCTGGGGGTGTCTCTTTCAGCCATTACAAATATGTGGAGACCATCAAGCTGACAGAACTGAATGCTATGGGATGTGTACTACTGACAGGAGCTCCTGCGTGTTTTAATAAGTGCTATAAAACCTGTCCCTGATAATAAGATTGGCTTGTTTTCATTTGCCTTTTCTTTTCAGAATTGGGAAGCAGCAGCCTTTAAGTTGCTTGAGATAACATTTTATGTTCTGATAAATTTATGTCTTGAGTAGATAAATGTGAAAATGTACTTTCAAGCCTATTACATGATTTTCACGTTTTAGTGAACATGCATTATGCTTTTTCCACTCAGTTTTTCTGTGAATAACAACTGTGTGATCCCATGCAAACCAAATTAAGGTCTAAATTATTTATGTGTTAAAATGGTAATTCATGCTAAACAGTGATATTATTGACCAGGAATATTACATTAATTCGTAAATGATGGCTTATGAATAATAAAATTGTTCAATATTCAGCTGAATGAAATGAAATAGCTTTCATGACTTCTCTCTGGGTCATCAGGTAACATGGGAAAATCAGTTCTGTCCTTGAATGGTACCAGAGTCACTTTGGAGCATCCTTGGTTCAGTTGATGATCCAGTAGCTGCTCCTTTCCCAGCCTTTTCCATCTGTCACAGGCATTCGTGCAGTCACAGGAGCTTCAGTGAAAAGTCTCAGTAAAGGACAAAACAGGCCCCTCCCAACATGGTACAGTTCACAAGGACACTTACCTTGAACCCTTAGAAACAAGGGCTTTCTACAGGACCACACAGAGTGTGGGGAACTGGCTTCTCTTTGCCCTTTGATGTGGATGGTGTGGAAGTCTCAAGAATTTTTGGCAGGAGAAGCACAGATGAGCTGTGCATTCTCTGAGCATCATATCAGGAGACAGGTACCTAATTGTTCCTCTACTGACTCTGCATAATCTGGTGAGAGGCAGCAAGAAACAATTTCTAAGGTTTGATTTGGACATCTTCTCAGAGTAAGGACTCCTAGGAAGGTGTTTGTAGTAAAAGGCATGGAAATGTAGAAATCCATCAGCATAGAGGGACATTCTATTCTGATGATGACCCAAGGTTATATCCTCTTGTATTCATAGTTGGTCACATCTTGAAAGAACCTTGGTTTCTTAGCATGGACTGAAAGTTTCTGAGTCTTTGTTTGCCTCTGGGTACTTGGACCTGACTGGGGGTGGAGATGGAATGAAGAAAAGGTAGATACAGACAGACACACAGAAAAGCTGTGTTTGGGTGTACTGGGCTCTCTGTTGGAGAAACCTCAGCATCCTGGAAGCTCAATGTGTTTATTATATAGAATTGAATCAGGATGTAGAGCTATTGCATAGAGCTGGACAAGGAGGCAGGGTTATAACATAAAGCAAATATGAGGCAGGGTCTATGGTATCCTGCTGGATTATGGAGGTAGGTTTAGCTAATCTCAGTAGGAGGAACCTTTGTAGGGGAGCCGTCTTCAGACTATAAACATCCTCAGGGAGAAAGCCATGGTGGACATGTTGTGCACAGACGGGCAGCACTCATGCCTGGTCCCCTGAGACAGGTTTTGGCATTTCCCTCTGGACCTCATTCCAGAGGAAAGGCTTTGCCATTCTTCCATGGGTCTGAGGCTCTGGAGCTTTTGGTATGCCCATGCCTGAGTCAACAGCACACATTTATACAGGGCTTTACTTACTCAGGGCTTCCTCCACTCCCTATAGAATATCATTATCACCTTAGACTGAATACTACTGTATCATAAAATATTCCCTTCTTATATGCCTCCTTCTGACTTGGTTACTTGGAGGGTCTGCAAATGTGAGGTAGTGAGTTTGTAGTAGCTGATATATGTATGGCTGGGTTGTTGAATAGTCAACTCTGATATTCTTTTTTCCATATGTTCATATTTTCTTGGTAAAAGTCTCAGTAGTTTGATCATTATAACTAAGTTATAGTTTAATCACACAGTAATTTCTTTATGCAAAATCAGACAAGGTATTATAGAAATAAAATGCAATCTTTATCCTCATTGGGACAACATTCATGGAGCCAGTGGAATCTGGCTATCATAGCATTGGTTGCCCCCACATATGCTACACCCCTTTGCTGCTTGTTTATTAAGCCCATGGGCTAATAGGTCACTGTTTTATTAAGTGGAAGGGTTTATGGATGGCTAGATGGTCAATAACATTGACTGCTCATACATCAAATAATTAAGTCAAATGAAACCTACACAAGGTAGGCTTATCCTTGCATATAAAGTAATTTCCCCAGGTACTTTGCTGAAATTTATTTTCCTGTCCCTCAGACTATTCTGTACTTTGTGGTGGTAGCAATGGGTGCTGGTGGTATACCATGATAAACACACCAATGCCCATTGCTGGGCGTTAGTGAGTTTCTGTCACCAAAGAGATGATATGTGGATGCCAAGTTTAGTAAGCTGCTCATTCACCGCAGGCTTGCTACAAGGTACTTGTGGATCTTCCAGGACTCCAACAAGAGAACTGAAATCATGCTGTCCTCCATTACCATTGGACATTAGCTGTTTTTTAATGTGATGTTCTCATTGGGTCTTGGCCCTACAGATGAACTGGCTAGTTCTCAAAAGTGGTGTTAGTTAACAAAATACCTGAGACAATAAA